TGTATTTTTAACATATAGCTTTTAGGATTGGAGGAAGAGCAGTACCACCAGAGACATAAAACTATGGGGAAAACGTGTCTTGAATTCAAAGAAGGAGGTCCACCTTGTTCAGCAGTGTCTCTTTGATTGATTGGTTTGTTGCAGTCTGTTATAAAGAAGGTGGGATTTTTTTCAAATTGAGCCCCAAACCCACAGAAACCATCCTTCTCTAGCAGGGTGAATGTTCTGGAGAGCTGAGGTTTTTCATCTCTGACACCAAAATACATTTAACACAATTTAAACCAATGTATATATAAATGATTCCAAAGTGAGACCTACATGTTATTAACGTGCTTTGAACTGAGTGTCCCAGACAGCTGTCTTGTGAGCATGTGGGTCACTTTTCATGGTAATGTTGCTCTTGAGATTTGACTAACAGGGTCCTGCTGCTGTGCAGGTCCGTTTCAGCCACTGTGGGATATTTTCTAGTTGTGTGCCTTAAACCCAAGTGTCACAGTTGCCAGAACTGTGCCCCTGAAGAGAGTGGTTCAAGAAAGGCTCATCTAAGAGCAACAAAGTTCTGTATGTCTCCTTAATATTTGGAAAGAATAAGTAAAATATCCTTTTCTATCAAATTGGCTTATTATGACTCTAGTTAACATGAGTAAAGTGTCTTGAGAAAAGGGCACCTTGTTCTCATATTGTCCTAGGGACCTGCATGGGCTGATATTATCCCACTTCCGGTCCAGATTTGGATCTTTCCTCAGCTGATCTAGATGATATATTGCTGAGATCCTCTCTCTCTGCTGCCCTTGCCCTTTTACTTGGCTCAGCTTGGGACCCACATTTTACCATAGACAACATCCTGCTCAACCAGTCCATGGCAAGGTTCAGATCTGTGTTAGCAAATTTCCCTTTGCTCTGATGAAAGGCATGAGAAAATCCCTCTAAAGAAGAAAAAATGTATTTGGGCTGAAAGGTTAAGATGTTTTAGTCCACAATCATTGGCTGTTATTTCTGGACTTGTGGAGGGGCAGAACATTCTAATAGGGAGCACATTTACACTGAAAAGTAAAGCTGCTCACTTCATCATGGCCAGGTAGCAGTAGAGACAGAGGGTGTGCATCAAGCACAAGCCCGCAAGGACCTAGTTTATTAAGTTTCTACCACTTCCCAAGAGCCAATTAAGTTATGAATCTATCAAGGCATTTATCCATTTATGATGTGAGAGCCCTCATTATCAATTCATCTAAGGTCTATACCTCTGAACATGGCTGTTCAGGACCAATCCTCCCAACACACAAGCTTTGAGGAGGTCCTTTCAAATTCAAGTCCACTTCTCTGACCCTCCTCTTTAGTCAGACACATGCCTGACCACCTCAGGTCAGCCCTTTGTGTTCAGGACATGACTTGCTACTACTGTCTTCCCCAGAATCATACCCTATAATCTCTGAAATTGGCTGAACTGTCTTTGAGAAGCCTTTGTCTAAAAGACACAATGACATTTTGTGTCTTTACCTGGCTTCGTGATTGCTTTTCAGTATTTTGATACTAAGAACATATGATGTTGGTTAGGGAACTTGCATAGGTGGGAAAATTATAGACCAAAATCAGTGAATGAAGTAACACACAGTTCAGGTGTGGAACTGTATTCGGTGGCACATGGGTGGACATCCAAGAAGGGCTCAGAGATGATGTCTGAAGCTCAGGGAGAGTTTTGCCCCTTCACTTAGGAGGTGGCTTGCTGAATGCTTTCTTTAATGTCTTTCAATTGTAAATACAGTGCATCTCACAATGACAGTGAGCTTGAGAGAAGCAGAACTGGCACTGTATAATGATCCAAGAGTCTTTACTTATAAGTTAAAGATATGAAATTAATAGAAATAATTCTTCTGGGAAGAATATTTTTCCTCACTTTCTAGTACACAGCTCAATTCTGGGATAGACAAGTTTGTTGGATAGTTAAGTTATGGAATATCACATGTTTTTAAAAAAGGAATATGAGGTTATTACTATTTAGAGGAAATTTGTGATGCCCCAGCCCCTCCATCTGCCAGACTCAGAGAGAAGATATTGAACTTCAGTCCAAGTAATAGATGTCCCTGGCAGAGAATGCTTCACTTTCATGCTTCTCTGAATGTAGGCAGAATCTGAAGTGGCAATAGGTCTTCAGTGGGCAGAGGCCTTTTGAAATTAAGAGCATGAATGAAGAACCTTAAAGTCCAACCTGCATCCCATTGCATATGGGAGTACAAGACTGTGCTGCCATGTCCTGCCAAGGCTGCTTACAGATATGTTTATGGCCAATGATTCTAAATTTCAGTAGCCACAAAAAGAGAACAAATCAATGAATTATCTGAAATGCTCTTTGCCAGCATACTTTTCTCTTGTCCTGTAGTTGTACACTATCTACATTCTATTTTCTGGAGTGCTCTTAACTCTTTCAAGTCACAAGTGAAACATCTGAGTCACTGAATCATAATAATTTAATTATCCCGTTAATAACCCCATAATAATTTACATCAAACCAGGTATAGCATATTAGCCAGATTTTTATTGCTATGACAAATACCTGAGATAATCAACTTATAAAGATAAAAGGTCTCTTTTGGCTCGCCATTTTGGAAGTTTTAGTCCATGATTGGGAAGATCCATTGCTTTTAGGTCTCCAGAGGGGAAGAGGGCAGGAAGTACCTGTTGGCAGAAGCACATGGTATCGCAAAATCATTCATTTCATGGCTAGGATGAGAGAGAGGAAGAAGAGTGGGTGGTGCCCAATTTGCCCCTCTAAGGGTATGCTCCAATGACCAGAAAACCTTCCACTTGGCCCATCTCATAAAGGTTGTACCACCTCCAAAGAGCACCAAGCTGGGGACTAATGCTTTAATAGAAGGGCCCCTGGGGGATGGATATTTGTGATCCAAGCAATAGGAGGTAGATGAATTGGTAGACAATAGGTAAGAAGATTGATAGCTCATAGATGTATGAAAAGATTGATTAATCTCTATGAATCTATAAATAGGTTAATTTAAATAATTTTTCACCAGGACAAGTCCATATTACATGACAGACTAAGGTTGACATCATTAATAAGTAGTTTTTTTTTTTATTCTTTAAGAGAGTGTCTAATGAAAATAATATAAAAGTCTACTTTTTGGAGTTCTTCTGCTTATAATATTTTTCACTTAAACACGATTCATGATATTTGAGATAAATTTTAGGAAGATTTTTCTATGTAATTTATAAAATACAACCTTATGATAGTTAATAAATTCTCTCTCTAAATGGCAAGGGCGAATAGAAAAGCTGCCAGTTCAGCACTTTCCGTGTCAAACCCTGAGCTGTGGTAGGAAGCTTACCTATAGTTCATCCTGAGGAACATGGGAAGCTGAGTTATCCCCCCAGTAAACCAGGAAATTTAGAGTTGCCAAATCCAAGAATTACCTGGGCTGGATCCTAAAAAAGTGCTGAGGATAGGGGGCTGTACCCTAAAATCTGTTGTTCTTATCACAGCTGTACAGCCCACTGTCACCCACACTCAGCTGTTCTCATTGGCTGGGACATTGGAGACTTGTGGATACAGGGGCTGAAACAGACTGTAGACACTGACAGGTTGTTGGGAGGTCAGTGTTGTTAATCAGAGTAGGTGGCTGGGAACATTTCTTTTTGGGTAGAAGACCTTTGAGAAAATACGTCTTTTCAAACTAATCCAGAAAGTCTCAGGGTTTTTTGTTTGTTTTTTTGTTGTTTTTGGCCCAACACACAGGAAGATTAGGATACATTCTCCTGGCAGCAATGGCTCCCTCCCCAGGTAGGGCCATTCCCCTTAAGAGTGTCAATATGGGATAGGGGGAACTGGTGAAGGGTCGTGGCCTTAGTTAAAATAAATAACGCTTTAAAACATTTAGAGTATGCTAAAAGGGAAAAGATTTAAAACATCAACACATATATATGATGGTGTAGAAAAAGTTTCTCTTCCACTCCTGTTCCTGTCTTGTCCTCTCCCAATGCAGCCTGGTTTCCTACCTCTGGGGCCCTCCAGAGATATTTGGTATACAGAACCATTCGCTTTTTTAGAAAAGCAAACCCAATATACTGTCTGATGTTTTACTATATTCACTTGACAATATTCCTTAGATCTTATTCTACATCTGCGCAAGAGCACTTACCTCATTTTCAAACTGCTACAAAGCATGGAGGTACTTCTAAACTAGTTCCCCACTGATGACATAAGATAGTTTCTAGACCTTCCACAATATGGAAACAACAATGTTTTGCACACATCTATAGATCAATCCATTGTTTCATTAGAGCTATGCACAGTGATCTGATAAGTTGTTTCCTAACTCCATATTACTATGGTATGTTATTTGGCACCAGTATTTCTACAATAATACTAGCTAACATTTCTAAAATGTTTACTGGGTATCAAATACTGTGCTTGACACTGTATTGCATTATTATTTTACTATATTATTCAGTTTTAATATCTGTAATTTATAGAAATAATGTCACCCAATTATAAGATATAATTTTAAGAATTACAATGTATCTACATATTACATGAAACTAATTGATATAATAAATTAATTATATTTAATAATTACTAATTCATTATATTATTATATCACCTGAAGTTTTATAGATGAGACTGGCTAGCTTAAAGAGTTGGAGGAAGGGTCTGAGTCCAGGTACTCTGGCGTGAGTAGGCTGCTAAATTATTGAGTCCGTGGGTAACTCTAGGACATGGAACATGGGTTCCCAAGAACTCTGCTGAGCATGTGATAGCAGAATGTATAAATGGAACTCTTAAGCAGACTTCAAGGGCAGACTTACAAGAACAAGGATGATGATACAGTGAATGTTTGGGAACGCATGGGCATATCCACGTCTCAGATCCATGGAGGTGCTGCTCTAACCCCACTAGCTTGTTTCCAGGACAGCAGCATGGGCAATAGACATCAGCACATTTGGCATGGGCTTGGTAGACACTTTGAGCACAATTCTCATTTTATCTTTAGTAGAAACAAAAGTATTTTCTGGAAGCAACAAGAAGCAGCAAGGAGAAGCACCAGTGACTCTATCCGCTCCTCCAGTGAAACAGAAGCCCATTAAATGGTTCCTTCCTGACGAGGACAGTTCCCAAAATGATGGCTGTCCATCTAGTGACCTTTCTAAGCTCACAGAGAGACGACCTCCAAGCCTCCTGAGACCCAGAGTTGCTTTGCCTGGGTTCCTCTGTCCTTTTAAAGATTCATGCACCTTTACACAAGAAGACAGTGGTGCTCAAATAGAAACAGAGCTCCCCAAAGGTAAGGAGGTAGACAAGAGAATTCTTACTTAATTATCTTGTGGAAAATGGGGCAAGGTCCTCATGGGCACCCAAGCCTGTGGTCCACAGGCTCACCTTATTGAGATATCAGAGAAGAGAGGGAGCAGAAACAGCTCACATAATGGGACATTTGGACCTCACAAGCAGCCAGAAGGCAGCCCCATGTGGGTCAAAGTCTCCAGTTCTACTGGGTTTAAGGCTGGTACCAGTAAGGCAAGGGACTGCCCTGGAGCACAGTGTTTTCTGTCCTTAGCTCAGGAAAGACTAAGAAGTCGGTGCAGCAGCAGGCCCATCAGGCTGATCAAGTACTCCTGTGACGGACTAGCAGGCACATGGCCGAGTGGCATGGCCCCACATGTTGCTGACACTTGATATGAGCACACTAGTCCCACGGTACCCATGAGGCAGGCCCAATCGCAACCTATCAGGCAAGGGAACCAAGTAGAATGCAGGCATCATTTCTCTGGAAATAATTCTGCTCACCATTTCTGGATAGTGCAGTGGATAGTCAGTGGGTGGTGATGTCTAAGAAGAAGGGAAAAATGCAAGTGGTCTATGGTCCTCAGAGGGATAGTTTAGATTTTCTATCACTCTAAGAATTTTCCCAAAGTATTATGGAGAAGGACAGAAAGAACAATACAGAATCATATGGTGTTGTGTTGTAAAGGTTAAAACGATAATGATAATGTATGAAAGTGTCTCTTGGACCTTGTTAATCCCTAGCTTCTCATTCAGTCCATTATGGAAGCAATTATTAAACATCGACTCCGAGCTGTATATTATGATCAGGCTCCCACCCTCTAGGCTCTCAGCCTAGTATAGGACACAGTGGGCATCACTACTCTGTGGGCTCCTAGGAAACTGAGGGTGGTCTAGCACTCTGAGAGAGCCTGAAAGAGGTATCTTCCCCTTATAAAAGATTCTGAGCAGGAAACTGAAATGTGATTAAAGGTTTAAAAATCAGGCTGAGAGCAAAGAGCATTGCAGGCTGACGAGGGGCACACACAAATCAAAGGAATGGAAAACACATGGCTAATTTGGGGAACCAGGGACCAGAACATAAGGCAGGGGGTTCTGCTGTGAGGGACCACACCAAGCTACCTATGGTTTCAAGTTGGGAGGGTCTTCTAAAACCAGTGCTGGGTCTGACTAAAGGCCATGAGGTTTGCTCTGAAGGACACTGTCCCATAAGTAACATGATAGACAGATGGCTGACAGCTCTCAGCCCAAGCAAGAGAGGAGAGTGGACAATCACTGGATAGGAGGCTATAGATGTTTTGGATTTAATGGGAAGATCCTTGTTGTGGAAGTGAAGAAGATGGGAAGATGGGAGAATTAAGGCTGCCTTTGGGTTACTGATTCTGGTAATGGTAGATGGTGGAGAGGAATTCCCATTGAGCTATAAGAAATGTTCACAAGAAACAGGAAACAGTGTGGTGGGAGGGAGAATTGATTTGTTAAGGTGGGGTTTGAAGGCTAATGGGTAATCTGGGTTGATAATTAAATATGGTCTCACTTGGGTTAGCAGTCATACCTAAAGAGGTGGTGGGTCAACAGGGAAATCCTCCAGAAGGAGCAAGAGCTGATGCTTGGTGGTATCTAAGAGAATGACATGAGAATGTCTAAGTAGTGTGATCTTGGTAGAGAATGACAGTGACAGGTGGCAGTGGAACATTCACCTTGAGGAAGTCACACAGAGTCTGGTCAGCTTGGGCTTGTCAGAACTAGAGACACTGATTGATGTTTCCTAGAGATAGGATAGCTGGTCCAGCCAGAGAGGATTTAGGCATGAACCATGACAATGACAGAAGATTCAGATGAGCTGCATCCTATGGTCAGATGAGCCTTCTGATGGCCACTTCAGCTTTCCCAGCTCTTTGAGGCATGTGGCTGGCACCATGGAGCATAATGTGGTCCAGTCCTTGAGAGAGGCACAGGTTTACGGGGTTAAAACAACATATTATGACCCCACTCGTGACTCATGCTGTTGAGTGGTTGAAGGGTGTTTCTCTTCAGAAGGATGAGAGAGTCAGGCACAGATTGTGTCTTTTGGAAGGGACACAGTGCCCTAAAGGGTGGAGCTAAGTTTGGAGATGGAAGGTCACTGGGCAGCAGAACTAAAGATTTGTCAGGGCAGGAATGCAGAAGAGATAAAGAAGACTGTGCTGGGACAGAGCTGGAGGGTTTGGTGAGGCTGTAGTTGGGCTGGGGAAAGTGTAGAGGGGAGAATAAGGGTATTCAAATGGGAAATGTGAGTTAAGGATAGACCAAAGGATTTATCCTTACTTTCCGGGCTGAGGCACTGGTCAGGAAGTGGCCAGTGAATTCTTTCTGATCTCCCTTCTACTGCCTTAAGTGCTGAGGAATCAACTCATTTCCTGACCTTTTCCAGAAAGGAAATCAAAATGGCCCCAGGGAGAGGCCAAAGCCAGTTCTGAGAGAGAAATCATCCCAATTATTTATGTAAAGCCAGTAGCAGACTCGGGCAAATTAAGGGGAGAGATAAATAATTGAATGCCATCCCCCGTCCTTATATCATTAGTGTAGCAAACATGAGACAGATTAATATGCTGTCCCAAAACAACCCAACTGTAGTAATTGTACAGGACACACTTAATATGAAACAGAGCATAGAAGTTTCTGTTCATTTTCAGCAAAGGCATTGTAAGCAACAGAAGCTAAGGAAATACCTCCATGGCATAATTATCCAATCGTGAAGTGTGGCTGACTGTGAGGGTTCCTCCCTGTGACCAGGGCAGCCAGGAGGGGCTGCGATCAGGCACGATCTTGTCAGCTTAACGAGGCCCATTAATAACCCGCTGGTGTTTCTATTTTCAAAATTGTCTCATGTGTCTAATGGTGTTGAAGAGCCAGGCAAAAATCACTCAGTGCCCTCTAAATGGAATGCTAAATCTTTTCTTTTAGGAGATTATACATGCTGTGACTTGGTTGTAAAAATAAAGGAATGTAAGAAGAGTGAGAATTCCACCACTCCTCCTGAGGTCTCACCAGCATCTCCCTCACCAACCCTTCTCAAGGGACCGGAAGCCCCTGGTTTGTCAGAAGACAGTCCTCATCCTCAGGAAACCCCTGCAAACCCCTTGACCTTGCAGGTAAGGCCTACTTAGCTTTCCAGCTTGATTCCCAGCAAAAGGGGGCCATTTCTGCAGTATGGGGAAGAGATGTACAGCCTCATTTCTGCCTCTGAGACTAGAAACTGGGTTCCCTTCCTAGTGGCTGTGTGACCCTGGCAGGTTCTCCAACCTTTCTGAGTCTGTTTCACCATTCAAGTAAAGGAGATGATGATATTGACTCTACCTGGTGAAAATGAAGATCAAATACTATAAACAGTGAACGTGATTGTAGCAATGGCAGGTGCCCAAAGGCTTCATAGCTCACTGAATAGGCATCACTACCTTTGATCACTGAAAGATCCTTTGCATGCAGGAGACCCCCTAGATTGACTTTAGATCAACACACTGAGCCTTTGAAAGACTGTGAAAGTTAACAAAATCATATGGCCATGAGTTGAAGGAAATGGAAAAATTTGTTTGGTACCTTCCATGGTTATAAGAGAAATATGAACAATTTTTTAAGTTATAAAGAATAGGAGAAAAAAGAACCTCAGAGAAGCCCCACTACAGTGTATTGCCCAGCCAGCCACAATCTTAGAAGTCACTTGGTATGTTGTGAGTCTCCCTGGGAATATGAAGATGGCTCCAATGGCCAATTCCTACATCCTTGAGGGGGTGCTCTGTGAAGCTACCTGAAGTGTACATGGTGCCCCTAAGCATTGTGAACCTCCAGGAATTTCCTTGAAGCTACACGGCATCCACACCTGATGAGCAGGGCATTCTCAGGAGCTGTCTTTCCAGGCCTGGGCTTCCCATGAAACTTCAGTGTACCTGTTGATTGGGGGCTGTGGTACCAGGTAGCTAGTGTTAGGCGCTTGGTTAGAGACTCCTTTCCTGACACAGCAGAAGAGGTGGAAACATAGATGGAGCCCACAGTGCTCGCCCTGGGGAATGAGGTAGAGGAGCACTGCCAGTGTGGCAGCATACTCAGTGAGCCTTTGCTGAGTACTCGGTGTGTGCAAAGCTCAGGGAAGTGTCTGTGATCATGAGAAACCATACAGTAGCATCATGTGCGCATGCTTTCCAGGAGCTTTCCCAGCATAGCATGGAGATAGACATCTGAATTGCTCTTCCATGAGATGATCTATAAAGTCCTACAGTGATAAGGCTGGACAGGGGAGATCGATCTAGTCAGGGTTTTCAGGGATAGATGGAACTTGACTCTTGGGGGTAGCTATGGGTGATCCTCCAGGAAGGGAAACAACTTGACTGTGGACCGTCAGAGAAAAAGAAGTCAAGAGAATGATAGGCAATGAGTGTAAAGTATGACTCTAACAGCTGACAGTCACCATGTGATCTACTGAGGTCCTGTGAGCCTCAGTGTCTGCATCTGTCCAATGGGAATAACTGGTCAAATGTTTGCCTTTTTCATTTATGGCCTCATATTACTGCTTGATGCTGTGAAGCAGGGCCTTTGTTACTGGCCAGAATTGACCATCAGCACCTTTGCCATCAGCATGTCTGTTCTCATTTTTACACAAGGTCATGGGGAAAAGTGGTGAACTATTTTGTATGAAGCTTTTAGTTTCTGAATGTCCTGCTTTTGATTGGCTTCTATTGGCTAAATCAGATAGCTGTACTGGCTTTTGGTATCATTTCTTTTAAAAATATTTTCTTTGTTCCAATTAGGAAGCTCTGGAAGTCCATAAACCTCAGTTCATTTCTCGCTCACAAGAAAGGCTGAAGAAGCTAGAACACATGGTACAACAGAGAAAAGCACAGCGGAAGGAGAGCCTGGGGCAGAAGCAGAGTCTTCTTCCTGTTCGTGCCAACAAGAAGCAATTCACCATTCCCCATCCCCTTAGTGGTAGGCTGCAGGTGGTGGGGAGATCTGGAATGGACCAGGGGAGAGGGGTGCTTGGGGGTGAGGTCTTTACCTAGGTCCCAAATGTTCTCACTGACATAAGCAGAACTAATCGTGGGCATGATAATGCCTATTTTGAGAGCTAGCTCATTTTTAAGAGATTACATATGGGCATCAAACTTAGCCAAAATAACTTGGGACACCAATTTACCATTATAGCTGGGAAAGAAGCCACACCACTGTAGCAGCCAGGGTAGCAAGTTCAAATTCTTGGCTCTTGACTTATGTTTGCAAGAGATCCCCTTTGCCCTTTATAGATTGCAAAACAGATCTCAGGGTGAAAGGTTGACTCCAGCTTGTCTACATCAACATTCGTCATCCTGAAACCCCTTCGTGCTATGAGCTCAGGAAAAGGATGGCCAGTTTGCTGAGCACTGTGAAGCCAGGGTCAAGCTGACCCTGGGAGAGAGGGCACTCACTCACTCATGGGAGAAGGAGTTATCAGGAGCCTTCTCTGGGCCAGGCACCATGTGCAGTGAGAAAGACTGATCTCAGTCTTTTCTTCATGGAGCTTATCAACAGACCATTTAAATAAGCAAAAATAACAAGAAAAGATGAGAGCAAGGATGCATGACATCACAGCACATACTTAGGGCCTGCCAACTCAAATCTTAAAATCTGCAGGCATGGAGAAACCCCAGGATTATTCCTTTGGATAAACGAATGAGATCTCTTTTGCTAGGAAAATGTTTTGTTCCCCAGAAGGCAAAATCATGAGTATAATTCTGAATAAAAGTCCTCTGGGGAAATAACCATATTCAATAAAGTGCAGCTTAGCAAACATTACCAAGATCCCATAAGGCAGAACTGGAGGACAAAAGGAAAAGAGGTTTTGTAATAGAATTCCTGTTGTTCTCCATGGTCCATGGGCAGGCAGTCTCCTTCCTGCCTCCAAGGTTACTGTGGGAGAGCTATATGGAAACCCTGGCAAAGGTGATCATGACTGCATCCTTCTTGTGCAAAGGATTTGGCAAAATATTCTCTGTTGTTTTCTTGTAACTCTTCCCAATATGCTAAGGAATGGAGACACCAAGATGCTCGCTTATTGGAAAGTGGGTATCTAACCAGCATTCCAAACCAGGTAGCAGGTACAGGCTCAATTTGAGTGTGTTCTCCAGGGGCTAGTTAGTCTCTGGCTGTGCAAAGAGAGGCTGGATTCAGGTACAGACTTTTAAAGGTACTATGAGAACCAAATGCTAGCTGCAAATGGGAGAGTTCTTGGGCCTCAGTGCCTGCATTTGTCCTGAGGTTGGCTGGGTGGTGGTATCATGCTTGTGGGCCACTCAGCCTCACAAGTTCTGAAGATACTGTTTGGTAGATACAGTTAGGCTGATGTCAACAAATACAAAATAATGCTGCTTTAGAGTACCACAGAGTCTCATACACAAACCTAATAGAATCTAAGGTCCTTCATTTTCAGTGAACCTTTTTCACTTTGGGAAGAAGCAGAAGCCCGAGGCAGTGAAGGAACTTATGCAGGTTGGTGCTCTCTGTTAGTCAGCTTTTCATTGCTATATGAAAATGGCTGAAATAAATCAAGCTAAAGAGAAAAGATTTATTTTGGCTCATAGCTTGGAAGGTGTCAGTCCCTGGTCAGTTGTGCCTGTTGCTTTTGGGCTTATGGCAATGCAGCGCATCCCAGCAGACAGTGCATGGTGAGGAAGACTATATGTCTCATGGAGAAACCAGGGTCCCTCGGTTCCCTTTGCAACCAGGCTCCCAGTGGCCTGTAGTTTCTAGTAAGCACCACCTTATAAAGTTTTCACCTCTTTCCAGTGGCTCCCAGCTAGGGACTAAGCCTTAACAAATGGGCTTCTGCGGACAGTAAAGATACAAACTATTGTATAGTAGGTGTCAATGCTTGGTCCCTCTTTCCCAGGGCAGGACCACCTATGTGTGCCATACTGCTGGCCTCAGCATCTCAAGTATCAGAGATGAGATTGCCTCTGTAGGCTGAGTTACCTTTCTAGAGTTGATGTAGGAACTCCTTCCACACAAAGTGGTTTAAAATAACAGAAATATATTTTCTCAGAATTCTGCAGCAAAGAAATCAAAATCAAGGTGCCCAGAGGCTTGGTTTCTTATGGGGACTCAGAGGAAAAAACATGTGAAATGGGTCTTAACCAGCATTTGTGGCTTCTGGCACTCCTTGGTGTTCTTTGGCTTATGGATGCCTCATTTCAGGCTTTCTCCATGTTTTCACATGGTCTTTCTCCCAAGTCTGCAGGTCTTTCTCCTCTTCCTGGGTCCTTTCTCCCATGTCTGCAGGTCCTCTTCTCTAGGTTAGAATCGTTCTTACACAATATAACCTTTCCTTAACTTGAATACATTTGCAGAACCACATTTCCAATAGTAAGGTCAAAATAAGATCACATCCATAAGCATGGAAGGTTAGGACTTGATCCGATCTCTCAGAGGGACAAAATTCTACATCCAACTTTAATGTTTTGCCCCAAATAAATGTCCTTACAGGCTTGCATTCTTGCAAATGAGAATTTTAAAACTATACATAATAAAAGAGGATCAGGCCATGTCAATGGTGTTAAAATAACAAAGGTATCTTTTTATTCTCCAAATTCCATAATAGTCCTGGTGACTGGAATGTTTGCAGTGGATTTGGCCAGCATGGATTTTATGGCCATTCTGACTGTCCCTGCAGTATTTATGTGTTGACGAGAGCTTTACTTTTGTGTTTATTTGTGTTAGGTCAGCTAAATCAGACAACTTCTGAAACCAGAGCCTCGTGTGAGCTCAGGCAAGTGAGAGGGAATGTTTAAGGCCCCATTAAACAAGTCTACAGTACACATCTTGTCTTCAGCCTGTCTGCTGGCAAGATGATAAAAGCAAAATGCAGATGTTTTTCTTACATGCTAAATTAGTTAATAAATCATATGCGTGAACGAGCTCTGGCTACAGTGTCAAAGCGTCTGGTAAAAAGAAGCTTCAGATTTGCTTTCCTGCTGGGGTAGCTGCCTCTGATCTGGGCTTGCAGAGCAATCTTGGCTGAAGGACAGACCTGAGAGGTTCAGGTGGGAACCAGAGAGAAGCAAGTTGCTGATTTGCAGGGATGATTACAGCAAGGACCAGGGCCAACTGGTTGGTGTTGGTTGATGAATTCTGAATGGCCTCTGAGGTTCCTGGGCAGAATGCTATGTATGTGTGTAAGTGTACCTATGTATGTAACTGCACATGTTAATTATGGTTAAGGGTTCCTGTCTGGAGACAGGAGCACTTTCAAGAACAACTGGGATGACAAATCGGGAAGTAGCATTAGAAATGTCTTGACTACAGCTCCCACTTTCTGATGGAGGAGATCTCCCAATTGCATTAGGGTGAGTGGCAACCATGTAGGTAAATCATAGTGCAAGATATGGAACAAGTCACTGCTGATTCTCAGTTCAGTTAGGAGGGTTGGCAGTAGGGGTGAGACACAAGGAAGAAAGATGAGCTCGAGGAAAATGAACCCAAGGGGAGCAACAGACATTGTACTGGGAGGACAGCCTGAGTAGGATCTGTGTAGCGTCACAGCAAGATGTAACAAAGTCTGGCCTAGAGAGGAGCAATGGGTGCAGAAAGGTGACAGATTCCAGAGATACTTGGGTGAAATCATCGGTGGTTGCTTTGTGGAAGAGAGAAGCTGAGACAGGTTTCTGGGAGAAAATGGAGGGTTTTGCTTTCAATCTCCACATGGCCAACACTCCAACCAAAGGGCTATCTCCTGTTCTCAAGCTAGAGCTTTATCTGATCAGTTCACCAGAGTTACCTGAGAGCCATGAACAAAGCTTCCTTCTCCCTCAGGTCTGAGGAGGATTGGGTCAGGTTAAAGGCCAGCCCTGAGGTAGGAAACAGTGTTTCACAATTAGTCATTGCTTCTTCCTTGCAGGTAGAATCCAAAGCAGGGAAATCCCGATAGTACGTGTGGTGTGTCAGGTATGCTGCAGACTTTGGGATCTCAGCACCTACAAGTAGTAATTGGGAGCAGTCAGTGGCATCCCTTACCACTCTCTCTTCACAGATCTGTGGCTTCATCCCATGCTCACTGCGATTCTGCAAACTGGGCCGGGTCCTGCCCACTTCCCGCTGAGCTTCAGACTCTGTGGTTTATGTCCCCTGCCTGAAACCCAGACCCCTTCCTCTCTGACTCTGCCATTCCCCTACTCTACCTAATTGGTCTTATATACTGTCTCTCCAAGGGTGTTCATCCTCAGGGACCCCAAACTACCTGATAGAAGTTTGTCTGTCTGTCCTTCCCATGCATCCTGTCTGACCTCACGAGGCCCTCTCGTGTTCAGCTGCTTCTTCTGTTCCCTATGGCATATGACCTGCTATGTGCTGGCTTCATTTCTCAACTGAGTGTTTTGCTAATGATGAATCATTGTTGCTACCAGTACCTAAGCTCAGTACGGCCAATTCAGAGAGCCCCCCTCTGCCCAAACGCTGCCCATATGGCCTGGCTGTTGTCTCAGCTCGTTTCCTAGCTGCTTGTTAGGGTCCTTATCCAGGGCTCTCTCAGGCTGTCTCCTTAACCTTTAAATGTGCAGGATTCTCCTTCCTTTTCTTCCACAAATTCATCCCGATTCCCCTACACTCACTGCCACTTGAACACTTGTGATTCTTGAGTGTGTGTAAATCATGTACTGTTTTACCTTCTTCATTTTAGATTAAGTCTTGTGACTTCACTAGGAATATCTGTCTGGACTGAAGCCCTGGCAGGCACACATCATGTCAAGTCACTCTGAGGCTCCCTGCTGAATCTACCAAATCAGACAGACTTAATCTGAATTGCATTAATCACACTTCCCAATGTAAGCCAAGTCAAAGCCATTCAAATCACAGAACAGTAGAGGAATGGAATTCTCCAGAAGCCATTGCAAATTTTCTTCTTTAGCAAATCTGCCTTCACTGATGGCTCTTGGCTGGAGCAAGTATTAACATTAATTTGCATTCTGAGAGCATCTAGCTGGAGATGTGACCCAACAGATATGAGATGGCAGCAGAAGTCATTGCAGTAATAAAAATGTGCTGTTCATCATGCAGCTAGCTGAGTAGAGGCCACACTGTCCTTACTATTGCCTGATCTGATCCCATGAATGTTTTTCTATAAAGCATTGAAATAAATTCTTGTGGTTAGTTCTCTCAATATTAGTCACAAAGGAATTTTAAAATGTGCTGATCAGATAAAAATAATTTTTTACTTTATCAGTCTGCAAAGAAAACAGGAAGCATGAGTTAAATACTGTTTCCCTCATTTAAGACATTCGTAAAAACACTATTAGTGTCCTTCAGCTCTGTGACACTGCATTGCTTTAAAAAAAGGGAATAGAAGACCAATATATGTCTATTGATTAGAATTATACTTTAAGGACAAAGTTAATTTCAATTAAAATAAGAAAACGTACAAACACTGAATTTCCAAGAGGCAAAGAAAATGGCTTTATGAGAGATTACTTTTCCCAATTGGCTTGATTTTGCTTTTAAATGATTTCTCTTTATATTTCACAAAGCAGTCAATAAACCTTGCAGTAATACCAAGAATATAAATCTACTTGGCCATCAGCATTAAGATTACCAATCATCTATAAACCTCCATATTTGCGGTTCTCCAAAAATGCTATAAAACTGGAATTGGAACAAACATGGCTTTTATAAACAGTTACTTCACTAGATTGTAATAGATGCAGCTGTTTGGTGGTGGGGAATGTGATTAGCATTTAAAATTGTCATTTAAAAACACACACTTTTTATTTCACTTTTATTAAGGTTTTTAATTGACAAAAATTATATATGTGTTGAACTATACATGCTTTCATGTATGAATGCATTATGAAATAATTAAGTCAAGATAATCAAGATAACTATTGCCTTACATATTTATGTCTTGTGAGAACAAGCTTTAGGTAAAGTATTTTATTATTAACTACAGTCACTGTGTTACACATTGGGTCTTCAGAAGTCACTGAAGACTAATTGAAACTTTTTCAATTAGACCTGTGGTAGAGAGCCTATGGCTCGCCTGCCACAGCCAGCTGTTTGTCATCACTGAAAGCTCTAAAAGGTTGACTGGCACTGCATTAGACCAACACGTCCTGAGTCTCCTAATCCCCCAGCCCTTTTTATCCAACATTCTACTCTCTTTTCCTGTATTACAGTTTGATGGTATGGATGCAAAATGTCCATCCAAATGCACACGTGTTTAGAGGTAGGGCTTTTGGAAAGAAATTAGATCATGAGAGCACTAGGTTCAATCACTGAGTAACTTATAGCTAAATGTGCGGTTAGGCACCTGGGGGAAAAAGGACATTTGGGAGGTAACCTAGAATGGTATATTTTTATCCCAGGTCTCTCTTTGGCTCTTTCCTTATGCTCTACTCCCTACCTGCCATGAGATGGGAAGCTTTCTTCTGCCACACACTTTGACCATGGCGTTTCTGCTTTCGGAGCCAACTACCATGGACCAAAGCCCCGAAAGCCATGAGCCA